AAAATTGGTACATAATTTGACACATTATATTAGTGTCAGGTGTACAACATAATAATTCCATTTTTGTATACACTACAAAGTGATCACCACCATAAGTCCAGTTGCTACCCGACACTATAAAAGTCACCCCCTTCACCCATTTCACCCACCCCCATCACCCACTTCCCCTCCGATAACTACCAATCTGTTCTCTGCATCTAAGTGTTTTGTTTTGTTTGTTCATTTGTTGTTTGTTTTTTAGATTCCAAATATAAGTGAAATCACACAGTATTTACCTTTCTCTGACTTACTTCACTTAGCATAATACCCTCAAGGTCCATCCATGTTGTCACTAATGGCAAAATCTCCTTTTTATGGTTGAGTAGTATTCCTGTGTGTGTGTGTGTGTGTGTGTGTGTGTGTGTGTATAAACCACATCTTCTTTATTCATTCATCCATCAATGGACACTTAGGTTGTTTCCACATCCTGCCTATAGTAAATAATGCTACAATGAGCATAGGGGTGCATGTATCTTTTCAAATTAGTGTTTTTGATTTTTTTGGATAAATTCCCAAAAGTGAATTGGTAGTCCTGTTTTTAGTTTTCTGAGGAATCTCCATACTATTTCCCATGGTGGTCTCACAAGGATCAGCTTCTGTAATAGTACAGAAAGGTAGGAGAGGGAGGGGGAATCAAACCAAAACCCAGGAAAGCACACATACATTGTTCCCTCCTCCCAAATCCCCCTTCATCCCTGCTTCCCCTTTCCACCTGCTGCTCCACATCTCTGCATTAGTCCTCACCTATTCAACTGAAAAAACAATCAGACTGAATCAGGAATACTTACGAACTACTACATGCCAGATGTTTCAATACTACAAAACTGACATTTTCTCTCTCCTCAAGGACCTTACGATTTAGTGCCAAAGAAATAGAGAAAAATGTGTATATGTACTCCAGGATGATGAACTATGAAGTTTCATTCTAAACATGCTACCATTAAAAATGTTTTAAAAAACTTATGTTGTTCTAGCAAAAAAAGCAAAATACAAAATTACATATACAGTGTGACCCTAATTTTGTAACTATCCATTCATATCCTCATACCCTCAGAAAAAATATGGGGATCAAATTGGCAGGCTGAGCACACCTGTCTGCTTTTCTTTCTCCCCTAAATTCCACTGAAATTCCAAAAAAGGAAAGTTACATTCAAAGATCAGAAAATGTGAAGATTTCCCAGAAAACAGAACAAAGATAAAATTGGATTGAATGAGCAAAAAAAGCCAAAAGAAGAACACTGCAAAGGTAAGCACGAATCTTCTAGAGGGTCTTCAAGCTCTGGGTTAACAGTACGTGCAGGGAGGGACCTTGTCAATAACTATCTGGTCAGTAAATTAAAAGACTACATTATCAACTGATGGGTTTATCATGATCCACGCATGTCCCTCATATGCCAAAATTCTGGCAATGGTGCATTTGCTCCTGTGTTTAAACCTCAATAACTGCTTTACCAGTGAACGTGGGTGGTCTCCTATCAGAAGGGCAGATTCTGGACAGAGAAGTAGAGCAGAACTTGATAACTCTATACGTACAACAGTAAAAACTGGAGTGGGAAGAGGTGGCAAGAAAACGAAATCACGAGATGTTTCCGATATAAGACGTTTCCGGACCTCAGATGCTGGAGAGAGAAGCCTCCCACACCAAGCTACTCTACCTACAACATTCTACTCTACACACCTTAATCAGAACCTTCATTCACTAGGATGATTATTGCAGCCATAAGGTAGAAAAGCAGCCTTGTGAAAAAAAAATCATCAGACTGCTGGATTATTGAAAATATAATCACCATTACTTCAAAATTGGGCTGGATTCCCAAATGGACACAGATGAATAATATTTTAATAAGCCGCAACATTGGGCCAAAAAAGTCTTTCAGAACAGTGCAAAGATATACAGATATTTCCAGAAGCTCCTACATGTGTCTCGAGAGTTTGTAAAGGAGGTAAGCAAAGGCAACTGATGGAAGGGCATTCAAAAGTCAGAGAGGACGGTTTTCCAGGACTGAAGAAACATTATGAACTCATGGATTTTTATGTAATTTGTTTCAATTCATTTCAGTTTTTGAAACTTTGATGCTCAGATTGCCCCATCTTGGGCTAGTACTGTAGTTCCTGACTAGGGACAATTCTGATTCCCCAGGAGACATTTGGTAATGCCTGGAGATATTTTTGATTGCCATGGTTGAGTGGATAGAGGTTAGCAGGGTTTCTAATAAACAGTGTACAACAGGGCACAGGGAAGCCCCCACTGCAAAGGATTATTTGGCTCCAAATGCCAACAGCGCTGAGGAAGAGAAACCCTGGGCTAGTACGGGCCCCTTCAGGTTGGCTCCTACACCCCTTAGACATAACTCCTGGAGTTTTTGTTAGTTTCCTTGTTCCTGGGGTCAATATTACGTCTCCTAGATCTTCTGCCTGAGACCTAGAGTCAGACATTTTTTACAAAGATTTTGTTTTGTTTTGTTTGCTTTGGTGGGAAATGGTAGATAGAGACCACAATCTGCGTGCTATGGATGCTTTTTGCAGCTGGGTTGTCATTGCTTCTAAATGCCTTTTCAGCACCAGATTATATGTAATTTTCATAAAGAGCAAAACAAATCATGAATCCATAGTGCTTTTTTAAACTAAAATTTAAGATCATGCAGCTCCTATTTAACTTCTTTGATTTTTATTTGCATTTTATACTGAGATTTTGAGCTATACTGACATTAAACTACTTGACCTACTCTACAATGTACATGTAAAATTTTTGAAAACAATACTCTATATTTTTACTAACAATATGACTACTTCATACATATTTGGGTTTATTGGTAGGTTTTGTTTTTGTTTCCTTTTACGTTGAAGTCTTTCCCACTAAGTGATAATACTGCATTAGACTTAGATTATTTTCACCCAGAGCCCACAGTTTATATTAGGATGCAGTCTTGGTGGTGTCCATTCTATGGTTTTGGACAAATTTATGACATTTATCTTCCATTATTATATCAACCTCTCCTTTTTTACACTCTAAACTCCATTCAGTTTCCTTTGCCTTTTTGTCTTATCAACATATTCTGGAGATCATTCTATACTAATAAAAATATGTTACTCATTTCTTTACAACTATGTAAGATTATATTATGTAGCTGTACCTTAGTTTATTCAACTCTCATTATTCATAGCCATTTGGGTGTTTCCAGTCTTACGTAATTACAAACAGTGCTGCTCTAATCAGTGGCTCTATGCATTTATACTTTTGGTTTTTTGCCAGTGTACCTTTGGAACGAATTTCCAGAAACGTGATTTCTGGGTCAGAAGAAAAATACAAATGTAATTTTGCTAGATTTTGTGTTCCCACCAGTAACATTTGAGAGTGCCTTTTCCCAAGCCTTACTAACAGAATGTGTTGTCAAACTTTTGAGATTTATCAATCTGATAGGTGAGAGATTATATTTTGGTGTTTTTCTTAAGTAAGGCTAAACATTTTTTCATTATTTATAGGGTATTTTCATTTCTTTTTCTATGACTTATATATTTATATATTTTGCTCATTTTCCCCCAGTATAGCCTTATCTCTATTTCTTTTGTATTTCTAAATTTTTATACAACCTTAAAGGTTACTTTCCATTTACAGTTATGGAGGTGGGAAATAGAAAGTTAATATTAGAGAGAATTTCATGAGGTGGGATACAGAACCCACTGCATATTTACAAGTCACCAGCGATCATGCCAAGGGGCATAACTCAGGCAGTCAAATCTGCCCTGGTTTGAGGCTTCTGCTCTGATGCAAAGTGGCCACAGAGGTATGGTCTCCTTTCAGTTTTCTAAGGCTCCAGAAAGAAATTAAATCTCTTCTGGCTTATTTATGGAAGCTGAGCTCACCCTAGAACAGAATTGTCTTCTTGTTTGGTCTGCAGACATGACCCAATTTCCTCACCAAAACTTTACTTACAGAAACAGAGGGGGCAGCCCATAAGCCATGTTTGCCTATTTGATTTTTTAAAACATTATTTGAAAATTTGGTTTCTCTTGCTAACAAAGATTTTGGCACCCCTATACGCGCTGTTCTCTAGTTGAGTGCCTCAGGGGCCCCACCCCACTCAGGCCTTGCTCAGAGCCCTAGGTTCATGCCAGGGTGACTATGAGTCTCGCGTTCTGGCTCAGCATCTTCTTCCCTCACAGCGCTACCTGTTTTCTGTGGAGCGTTTGTGCCCTGCCAACCTATAAATGCCTCCCTTTAAATCTTCCTGAGGGAGTGAAGGGAGAAAAGAGAGGTGGGGGAAAGGGTTGAAAGCAAAGAAAACAAGGAGCGGGAGAAGGAAGTGGCCAGTGCCCAGTGAACCCGCAGGTGTGAAAGGCTAATCCGGAAATCACTCAGTAATCACCACCATGAAATCACAGCGGGTGACCTCGCTCACTATGCAGACGCTCACCTTCCCCACCTCCCACAGAGCCTTGCTTCCTAAACCGAAGTGACCTTCTGAAATCTGGCCACTCTGCCCCGGCTCTTGGCTCCAGACCCCTCCTATGCACCACTGTCTACACACCATTAGCTTCCTTCCGAAGTCCCCTCCCCAACTATTTCTCATCCAGAGCAATATGCTTTTCCTGCTTTCAAGAGAATGGCCCGCGTGCCCAGTAAACAAAGACCGGAGCGCAGAAGGCTGTCAGAAGTTCCCAGGCACTGACGTCTTCCATGGGAGAGTTTGAAAAAAAGGGTGAGGTTTCGGGGGCTCTGACGTTGGAAGGCAGAACAGTGCTGGGAACTCGGCTGCACTCCATGTTCAGAACAGCGCTCGTGGGTCGGTCACGCTCAAAGGAACAGAGTGTTGAAAGAGTGATTATGTTTTAAGATAGTTTGGCTGCCCACCAAACAACATGCTACTGCCTGCTGCCAAGTCAGGCACTACTGCTGATGGGTGAATTTTTAAGAATGAGAATAATAAATAAATAAACTGATCTAGAAGCAAGACATCATTTCTTAGGTGGATCTCTTGTGGAGGGGATGACATTGGCTTGGCTTCCACTGGGTCTCAGAACATTTCTCTATAGAAGGTGGGCCTCTGTCCACGCTCCTCCCAGAGTATCTATTTTCTCATCAATCCCGTGCTGACCATATGAACTTAGGTGAGTCATCAGTCTCTGTCTTTTGCAGTTTCTCTGCTTTTACATGGAGTCAGTATTCTTGGCCCCGTCCTCTCGCACTCGGTGCTGGCTAAGTGGTAAGGTGGGCAAGAACAGGAAAGCTGGCCGGGAGAGAAGGCAGACCCAGAAGACAGAGCAGGGCCTACGGAAGTCCAGCCAGGGGCCCAAAGGTCTCCTGAAGCTGACTCTTTAAGGTGATTTTTAAAGTGTTTTCCTGGCTCTTTATTGGATTCTTTTCATTCTTCCCCAGCCCTGAGGATTTGGCCCTCTTCTCTCGTCCGTCCTTACAGCTGCTTTTCTGCTTGGATTTCCGCCCCTTCGAGACTGACGAAGACCAGGAGTCTCTCTCCCAGCGTTTGTGCTACTTCACTGTTAGGCACGCATCTACCGTTATTTTTCACTTTTCAAGAATGTTTCCACTGCTAGCGACTGTGGGGAAAGACACACACACACACACACCCCCACAAACACACACACACACACACCAGGGAAACCACAAGTAATTAGGATTTTTTAAAACTACAGATCACTGTTTTACTTATCCTTGGTCATTTCTGAGGCATCAAAGGGCAATTATGCTCACAGAGCAGTAATGCATATGGTTCAGAACTGAAGCAGAGTTACAGTAAAAAAGTAATTCTTTAATCACTTATATATTTAATTCTGACAAGAAACACAAACGTGCAAAAATACTCGGCCTGTGTACTGATACATGGGTGAGAGTGGGCATCAAATCAGGGCAGTATTCAGAGCCAGCAGTACACAGAAAAGAATGATCTAAAAGTTTTATTGTATTTTCAGTATTTTCAATAGTGGAAGATTCAGTTCCTTGCTTATTACATTTATAATGGGCACTGCACACAAAACCGCTTCTTCCACTGGGAAAGTAAATGAGAAATAATAGTAATGGAGCAGTGAAGAAGAGGGGAAATGAAGACAGGAGACTTTTGGGCAGGAGACTTTTGGCAGGGACATGCCAAAGCACCAAATAAAAAAGGAAGGAATCAGGGCATGAACCAGATCTGGAATAGGATGTCTACAACCAAAGACAGACAAGATGGAAGAAGCAAATTCCAGATAGGAAACAGAAGGCTGGTTCTGAAAAGATTTTTTGAGGCTGTGCTACATAGAGCAACGATACAGCGGAGAGGACAGGGGAACATTTTTTAGCAAAATCCTATCAAAACAAATTTCATTTAATATGTATTTTATGAGGGGCAAAATTGCAGGACTTTTCAGAGCCTTTAATATGAAATTCTGAGATGTGTGTGAGGGAGGGTAAGGATTGGACTGGCAGCACGTGTCACACGTATTTGTTTTGCATGGCGGTGGAAACACGCCACACATATTGCGGGGATGTGCTTTTATTAAATACCTACGGCTTATTTGAGAGCAGGAAGGGTGGGATCTGGTTTAAATGTTTCTAGTAAACCAAGAATGGTGGCCAGTGGCTGAGTAAGAAGCAAAAATAAATTATCTAACATCTATGTACGAACCAGAAATGATCCCAGGATGTCAACACTTGGGTCCCAACAATAGGAAAGATACAAAATCAGAATCAGAGCATAAGTCACCAGATCGTTACCATTTACAACCATCCTCAGAACTCGCCTCACTTCCCCAAAGTTCTATTACAGTCCTTCCAGCCAGCACTCTCTTCCCCCTCCTGCTGATGCTCCTGTTTGAATCAGGGAGTTCACCCCTGGGCTTTTTTCTTGGAATTTTTCCAACATCATAGTGTGAGGGCAATAAAGGAAGATTCACTGAGAGAGGCAAGCCAAACATGGTAAGAGCCTTAAAAAATATATCTTTTTATGACAGAAAAAAAGGAAGACGCCATTAGGAAAGGACTTGCTGCCAAACCACAAAGGAAAGAGTTCAGCAAGGAATGTGAAATGTCTCTAGCATTAGTTTGGAATCACCTGCCATGGGGATTAAGAGACCCCTTTAATCAAAAGATGGGAGACCTTCCTGCAAATAACTGGGGTCAGCCTAAGGTTCTGTCCAGCTCAGAAGAGCAAGACAGTGATGAGAAGCCACCCCCTCCGCAGTACACAATGCTGTGTTTTTAGGTCAATCGTCCAAGGATATTACGGTTACTTTCAATAGTTAATGAACAGCTTTTAAGTGCCTGCTTCATTTAATTGTCCAAAGGCCAGCTGGTCTCAGAATGTATAAAGCCTCGAGCTGGCTAATGAGAGCACTCTCTCTGGGCAGAGGAAGCCAGGAAGTGGCCGGGTCAGGGAGCTGGGTTCCAAAGGAGCAGGGATGCAGAACAGAACCAGTCTACTCTGTGCCTTTGCCCTCCTGATGGGCTTTCTGATGATCTGCCTGGGGGCCTTCTTCATTTCCTCAGGCTCTGCATTCAACTGTCAGGGGAAACTGATCCTGGCCTATCTGCTTCTGCCTCTGGGGTTTGTGATCCTTCTGAGTGGAATTTTCTGGAGCACCTACCGCCAAGCCAGTGAAAACAAAGGGGTGTTTAGCCGTGTGCTCAGACAGCACCTTGCTCAGGAGGCCCTGCCCCTGGCCACAGTGGACAGGTATGTGCTGGGAAGCCAGAGCGTTGGGGAGGGCTGAGATGGGGCTGAGTTCTGGAAAAGTTAAATGGTTTCTAATCCCACTGTGGGGCAATTTACTGTCCCATGGGGGTACGTGTCTGCAACTGAAGCTACATTGTCAGGGAATTACTCTGGGATTAGCCATCAGGAAGAATGCTGCTGCCTTTGGGGAAAACCACGAAGTAGAGGGAATTTATCTCAGAGAATAACCACCCCCATCCCCACCACTGAAAACCCACCTAAACCAATTTAAGAGGCTCAACTCAGGTTTCTGCGTTGTATCGTGGGAGCTGTCCCCAAAGGCAGGTGATGGTTAGTTAGCCCCCATTGCCTGGTTACCGGGTTATCAGGAAAGCAAGTTCCAGACCAAATTCTGCCACACAACAAATGAGAAATCAGACATGAAATCATCTCTGCAGTCTCTTCACAAACTCAGTGAAGTCCCAGCTTCCTGTCCTCTTAGGTGCTCTGATCACACCTTGCATGAAAGAGTTCTTTGAGGGAAAGCAGTCACATTCCAGAGGTAAGATGTGGTTAACCTCACCACCTCATACCCATTAGGTTGTCAAAAACACAGAAAATATCAAGGTTAGCAAGCATGTGGAAGAACTGGAAACCTTGTGCCCTGCTGGTGGGAACATAAAATGGTGCAGCTGCTGTGAAAAATGGTATGGAGGTTCCTCAAAACATTAACCAGAATTACCATTTGACTTAGAAATTCCACTTTGGGTGTACAGACAAAGGAACTGGAAGCAGGGACTTGAACAGATATTTGTACACCAATGTTCACAGCAGCATTCTTCACAACAGCCAGAAGATGGATGGATGGACAAACAAAATACGGTATATGCACAAGATGGAATATTATTCATCCTTAAAAAGAAAGGAAATACTGATGCATGCTATCAAATGGATGAACCTTGAAGGCATTATGCTAAGTGAAATAAACCATTCACAGAAAGACAAATACCACATGATTCCACTTACGCGAGGTACCGAGTGTAGTCACAGTCACAGACAGAATGTAGAACCATAGTTACAAGGTGATGGGGGAGGGGGAGTGGAAAGTTATTGTTTAATGAGTGCAGAGTTTCAGTTTGAGATGATGGGAAAGTTCTGAAGATAGATGATGGCAATGGTTGCAAAACCACATGGATGTTTTTAATGCTGGTGAACTGTACACTTAAAATGGCTAAAGTGGTAAGTTTTATGTTATGTCTATTTTTACCACAATAAAAAATTTTCAGTTAACCGTATGGTCAGTAGCAGACAACCAAAAATCTCCTAATTCTTGGCTGAACATAGGATCATTTAGGTGTTTTTAGGTCAAATACCTGAAGGTACAGGCTGTTAGACTCCACAAATTCTTTTCCTCGCTTCGTCTAAAATATATCTCCTTCATGTATCTTGAATATAAGTAATTTTATCCAAGACAGTTGATTTTGACATTATTATGCTAATTAATAAGATACTAATCATAATAACCAAAACCCATCTCAAATGTTTATTATACTAACCTCAAGGTCTCTGGGTTTGATTAAAAAATTAAACATAAGTGAAGTCATTATAGATGCTTCTAGAGTGATGATTTTTTGGTATAAATGTTAGATGGCTGCCCCCAGAGTGTGAATTCCTGATAAGAGTGACTGGTGGCCTTTTAGCTTAAATTTACTAACATGCATAATATTACACTCTCTGTGCTGAAATACTTAAAATTATGGACATCAGGACACCCCTATTTTACTGCCTCTTTCTGCTGTGTCTAAAAGATGCCCAGCTCACTCAGAATGGCTAGTAAGTCAGTAAATGAAAAGTTGCATTTCTTAGAAGCTTTTGCATTAAAAGTGGGTACCCAGCTTGAGGTATCAAAGCAAATGAGTCTACAGTGGTAGAATTCAGGATACTGGAAATGTGAATGGGTGTGGGGAAGGTGGGGACTGGAAGAAGTGGATGGGATCTGGGGGCAGGGGGCAGTCATCCCGGAGCCTCTCAAATCACTCCAGGGAACAGCTCACCCTCTGTCTTCAACGTCTTCACACATGTGCCCTAGGACACAGCCTTGGCTATTCTGAGCGAAGCCGGAGATTTATGCTGTACAGTAGATAGCTCCTTCAGCTACTTGGCTTTGGGCCTGGTAACATTTGGAATGAAGCTGTGGCTACAAATGGCAGTCCCTGTTCTGTTGTGGTTACACACCAAAACACTCCCTGTAGGCACTAGAAGGATTCGCTCTATAAATACACAACTCAATCAAGTTCACATTCTCTCTTCCTCACCTCCACACCATCCCGAATCTCATTCACGGTGGAGAAGCCAGAGGATTTAGCAATTAGCAGCATTGGACAAGATTACCATTTGTGCCATCAGCTCTGGTACGAATGGCTCCTTTCAACATTGGCCTGTTGGCACGGAAGGGGCCACTACTGAAATCTACATAAGGCTGTCAGTTCAAATAGTTTGAGAAATGAATTTTGTTTCACTTTGAAACTAAGACTTGAAAGAGTGATAGGAAAGAGAGAAGCATCTGACATAGTTCAGGAATCTGCACGGAGCTGGTTTTCATTCATTATTTTCTGGGCAGTGATGATCCAAGACGGTGAGTGCAACTGAGCAGAAGATGATGTGTGTGAATGGCGGCGAGGACGTGAATGAACTAAACAACTGGGTAGAGGGAGGTTCCACAGTCAAGGCCCCCAGGTCCCCACCCCTGATAAGGATCTCACACTGGAAGTTCCTGGTTCCAATGAAACAAGTGAAAGAGAATAGCTTGGAATAACCCACTGGGAAAAATATGACTGTAGAGAAATACATCCCAAGGCTGATAGGGTTCTCCTGGAAGAGCAGCGTTTTTTAAAAAAAACTGGTGATGTCAGGCAAGAAGAACATCTGTTTCAAAATCAATGTTTCTTAACAGTTTAACTTCACACAATGTGATCTGAGAGAGGCAGACATAAGCCGCTTTGGCAGTAACCACTTAAATAACATATGTATGTTTGTGGCATTTTGTCCCCCAGGCCAGATTTTTACCCTCCTGCTTATGAAGAGTGTCTTGAGGCTGGAAAGCAAGCCTGCTGGGCAGAGGAAGAGGCCTCGGGTGTTCCTCCACCTCCGTATACAGAGATGGGCCTTAAATTTGAGAATGAAGATGACGCCCATCCAGAGGCCCCACCATCTTACGAGTCCATAGCAGGTGGGGTGGCGGCAGCAACCCCACCGCAGGATGCAGAGGGACAGAGCTGAGAATGCTGGGGCCAGGGAAACTCTCCAGCACTCATGACACACCCTCATGGGATGCAGCTGCTAATAACAAACACACACAGGGACTGTGGGAGGAAAAGTCACATCAGCGACCCCACCCGAGACCTCGCAGAGGGGATGCTGTGGGAGACAGCAGTGCAATTCCACACACGTGCTTGGCCTGCAAGGGCAGAGTGGGGCCCTGGAAGGGTGTGGTCAGCACCACGCAGGCATTTCAAAAGATTCGCACTAACCCTAACCCAGGTGAGCTTTTCGACTGCAAAACTGATGTGAGAGCCCTGCTTCACAGAGAGCCTTTCTGCTCTCCCTCAACTTCTAGCCCATCACCTCGGTCCCCAGCAGAGAGGAAGAGAGGCCCCTGGTAGGGACACCGGGTGCTTTCATGTACCGCATTATCTAATAATCACGAAGGGAAAGTATCCTGGAGGTGAAGGGCCATTACTGTTTAAATTCTAGGTTTTGCTGGGTGGTTTCATAGTTATCCTCATTTACTGTATTACCCGAGTGACACAGAAATTCACATTGTAAGAGATTTGTCCCTGGAACCTATGACTGTTATTTTGTATGACTTTATTTTAATTATGTGTATTTTATTTCTATGTGAAAGGAAAGCGACTTCAATATTTGCTTTCCAAATGGCTCAAAGACAAAATTTTAAATGAGTATTTTAAGAACAGGATGGTTGAACAAGCAGATATCACAAGATTTCTTAGAAACTCAAGTTGAATAGACAGAATACTTAAAAATTCGTAATACACAGGATTCAGGAAAGAGAATTTGTACTCACCATTAATTTGCCTTAATACAGAATTTGACACAAATCTTGAAAAGTTTTAAAATACACATGAATCTAATAAATCATCCTGTAAATCTCTAGGATTTGAAAGAAAGGAAACCATATTGTAGTACTTTGATCATTAATAGAAAACTCTTTGTGTTTCAAGATATAGAGTCAGGCATTTTTAGACTTAGGACGTTTATTTTCAAGCCCAATTATTCCTATTCAGCGTTATTATATTTTATTATGGGTTTTAACACAAGAGGACAAATTGGGTGGCGGAGTGGTGGAGGGAGAGGCAGCCTGATGCTTTAGAGCTTGAGAAAGAAACTTCATCTCTTTGGGCCTCAATTTCCCCCCTATCAAGTGAGGAATGTATACTGGGATTAATATCTAGCAATTAGGGAATGCCTTTTATATGGCAGGCTCTGTGCTATGAACTTGTTAGGCTTTTTTTTTTTTAGTCCCTCACTATATCCTTCAGAGATCAGTGCTATGGTTATTCCCATTTTACAGATGCATAAATCGAGGCTTTGAGAAGTTAAGAAACCTTTCCAACAGCACACAGTTATTTCCAGGAAGATGAGGAAGGGTCCAGAGAGGGGCATAGGAAGACATACATACTTCACACTTTTGTGCTCGGATGGGTTAATTTAACCCTGTTTTACTTCCCTCCTCCCAGGGAGCAGCTTGGATTTCTCTCCCCTACAGGAAGTTGGCCCTCACAGGGAGTGGAGCTCCAGGGTTGCCGCCTGATCTTAAAGCCCTTGGAGAGGCAGCAAAGCTTGCCTCAGGGCTAACAGCCTGGCTTCTTTTAAAATGTAAATAAGCCCTAAGAGCTTGGCCCTCACCTCAGGGTATGGTTTCCTTTCATACTGATGATGAAAGATGGCTCCTAGTAATAACAGACAGCCTTGGAAGGGCACTGGAGGGCTTTGGACAATGGTGGGAAGGATGAAGGGCTTTCAAGAAGGATAAGGGTGGCAGAGATGGGGTGGGCCCTCTGTGGCCTCCTCTTCCCTCTTGTTGCTGAGTGCTCAGATAAAGCTTGTCCTGACAAATACACAGGAAGCCATAAAAGGAAATCCCAGTTCCTTTACACAAAGCATGACTTTGGGCATCCATGATTTGAATCCTTGACATCAAGAGCGTAACTCGATATGAAGGTCACTCATGGTTGTCCAACAGGAAGGCAATCATTTATCAGCAAGGCAATGTATTATTTCTCTCTTGCCATCTCTTTCCATTCCTCTACCGTGATCGTTAGCCTGAAATTTTCCTCGGGGTCTGAGCAAATTCACTGACCTCAACAAGCTCTATCACTGGGCATTCGTCCAGAGTTTGAACTTGGAATGGATGGTTTTTCCAACTACTGGTAGTCATGTGAAACCAATGTAATTTTGGTTTACATAAGAAAATTGTTTTAATCTCTTTACTGCAATAAATTTTGTACTTAAACTTTCCCCCCTTTTTTGCTGTTGTTCTGTATCAGGAAAAAAAAAACAATAGAGGCGCATAAGCCAAAGTTTTCTTCTCCACGTGAAACTAACACAGCATCCAGATGAGTTCATCTTTTTGTAAAGCCTAATGTGATTGAACGCCAACTATTGATTCAGAAAATAAGCCAGGTGCTTTTCAAAAAAAAAAACATACTCTGAAGCGAACATCAAGAACACAGTTATTACCCACAACAAATCCTACCTTTGAGAGACCCAGCAATTAAAACCCACTGGGCAAACCAGATGACAGTGCCCTGCTGTGATTAGTAAGAATTCACCGGCCATCCCTGGAGGAAGAGGGAGTAGACACTGTATCTCCTCTTCCTGAAGTTTATGATTAAAATTAATGGTGATGGATTGAGAACCAAGATTCCGTGAATGGCAGAGGGGGTGTCACTTTGACTATGAGAAAATGGAAAAGAGGCAGATCTCTACTGCAGTCTTTGCCCATTCCCTCCTCTCAAATGTGAACAGTGGGCTCACATGTCACGGGACAAGGGAAATTCTCAGAGGTGATGGCTCTCCTGCGTTTTAATCTTATCACGTTTCTCTAAGTAGCAAGTGTAAGTACCCCCCCACCCTCCTGCCCCTGCCACTGCCACCACACAAACACGCATGCCACAGAAGATGAGCACAAGGTCGTTTACAGACTACACTGTGCTGCATCTTTTGTATATCTGAGATGTAGTGTCTATATTTTTGGCCCCTCCACTCAAAAACTCACAAGCACTTTTACTGACAGTCCTATCCATCCTTCAAGTTTCTACTTAAACACACAGTCTCTGGTGAGGTATCTCTCCAGCTCACCTGTTTTGCAGGGCATATATGAGGTGCTAAAACACATGGAAAGAGGACAGAGGCACGGGTTTAAACCACATCTCTTCACCATATTCTGTAATAGTCCATAACAATTTAGGGTGATTCACCTACCAAGTAAGCTGTCAACCACATGAGCCATCCACTGATAAGGTTTCCAGCCAGTTGGAGTGGAGCAGGCATTCTGCCAAGCTCTGCCACCTCAGATAATCTCTAGCTGTTTGTAACTGCTAAAGGGCCAAAGACTGATTTACTGGCCGTTACAGCATTCCCAAAGGCATGTGATTTCTCAGATCCTTCTCCACTCAGGAATGGAAATCTCTTCCAGGCAGGTATTTGGAATATCAGGGTCCACGAGTTTCAGAGTGCTCCGTGCCGTAATCAAGAATCAAATTGGAGTCATCTGTTCTATCACTATCAGTTCCCACAGGTGTGTTTCAAACGCCCCACACCCACCATGGCTGATGGACGTGCTGCCAAGGTAAATCCCATGCCTTACACTGAGCCACACAGGCCAATCAGAAGTCACCACGCCATTATCCCTGCCATTGCCTGTATCAGTTGCAGAGAAGACTGGCTCAGTGCAGCCAACCTAGGGCCACCATGGGACTGATCATCAATCTGAGGCTTCCTGTGCAGACAGCCTTCATGTCACGTTCAAGCCCTTCAACCTGCAACGTCATGCAGCACTATTTGTCCCATGAGGGCAGTGGATGTAGGCTGCACCTTGGATCAGTTAAGACTGATAAATGATCGCATCTTCATAATGGCTGTCTACCTATTTTCAAGGTCAGCTAATAAACTCAAGAATCATAGATGAGGCAAAGCAATTTTTTGTTCTAGGGGACTGGCTGACACCTGGCAAGATATCTTGCATCCTTGGTCCCCTCCCACTAAATGCCTCCCTAGCACATATACACCCACATTTGCAACCCCCTACCCCGGGTGGGTAGTGGCACTGCCCTGACTGGGAACCACTGCATCATAAACACTGTTGCCTGTCATCGCTCCAGAGGACAAAATGCAGGGAGTGAACCCTTCAATATGAGCCGATAACAAGGGTGGCCCTGACAGTTGCCACACTCTTACCATAGTTTCTTCTATGCTTGTCTCCTGTGGTCCCATAAAGTTCTTGGACCTCTCCAGGCATTTACTCCTAAGAAAGGCGAGTGGCTGCAGCTCTGTCTTTAAGGACACAAAGAACATTACGTGTGGAAGCGTGACCTCCTGTCTTTCACCTCTCCAGAAAATAAGGCAAGAGGACGTGCATGTATAACTCGGCAAGAGAAGCCTGGATTTTATGTAAAGCAGAAATCATCTTCTGGCCATGTGAATTTGAGCAGCTTCCAGAGGCAGGCTCTGTCCCGAGCCACTCCCGGACCTTCCCTTTGGCAATCTTGCTGAGAAAAAGCTCTGTAAAAATAGGTGGCTGTGCAGCTGCTTCTTTCCAGAAGCTGGGCGCAAGCATTTGCTCTGCCTGGTATTTATAATACTGTGTCTGCTTCAAACCCACTCATCCAAGCCAGCTTCTCGCAGGACCCAAAGCAAGTCTCCACTCCAGCTATCCCACCTCTCCACTCCTAGTCTTTGTTCTGGCTACATTCACCCTTGATGAAATTATATAAATGGTTACCAGGCCCAGGAAACTCCACTCTTTGTGGAACTCCAAAATGCCTAGAGCCTTCTATCTTTCAGTCAATCCCCTGTGCGTTCACATAGCAAGTAGTCTGTGCTACGACTGACTTTCATGTCTACTTGATTCTTTGTGCATGTTTGCATACAGGACTCTGCACAGAACAGTTGTTCAAACCATGTTTGCTGAATAAATGAATGAATAAATGTATATTTGGATGACTGGACATACATGACTCCATACTGAAATAAAGAAACAGGATTTTGAAGTGAGGATTAATTTACATTTGAACTTCAAAATGAGAGATGATGAGAAGTTCAGCAACTTGAGAGAAAATATGGAGAGACAACAGGCTTAGCCGTCTCAGCCTAAGGATGCATCTCATCGTGCTGCCCGCCACGGACCTCCACTTCAAAGAGAATGAGAACCAAAGCAGCAAGGCAAGCTGCATCTCGCTGCTGATACGTTTCACAACTAGTTCCTTAGCCGCTCAGCTCAAAACCACCCTCCTGTTGTTCTGAAATGAAGATACTTATGATGCAAGACTAGATGGCACGACCGTTTCTTCTGATGCCCAAAGGCAGTTTTTAGCAGTTTGGCTTCTCTGTTCCATTGATTTACTAAAGCCCCAAGGTCATCATAATGAAAAGCAGCCCTTGCAAGGGCTCTGAGTGGCAGACTTATCCAAAGTGACCACTACTGGAGTTTCTCAACGAAAGAAACAATAAGCAAAAACCCACAATTCTTGCATAAGATTGAAATCAGGAATTCCTTTGTTTTATTGGATACTAAAGGACCTAGCAAGTTTCTGGAAGCATAGATAGAAAATGGAAACAAATACCTTGCTGGGAATGTTTCCGGGCTTGCACTAATCTTGACTACAGCCATAACGCATTGCTCAACAGTCAAAGCACACCACATCATCTGTGCAAATGACGTGATAAGTGAGTGTCGTTCCCAAGGAAGCAAAACATATGCAAACAGGTCCCGTGCACCGAGGGTTCTGGCTGAGTTCTGATGGGGCTGCCAGAGCTGCAGTATCCTTTTTCTGGGTAAAGAAAGCCAGTGGTAGCCCTCTGCTTTCTTGCAGAGGACCTCACCACCCTCTCCATCTCATCAGGCCCACAACAGTGCTGCCAGTACGGTTTTCTTCCAGCATCCACTTCATCTTCTCCTTTTACAGCATTTTGCTGTCTCCTTTACAGCCACGGTAAGTAAGATCTGAACTGTGTCCAGACAAGTGCATGAAAACAAGCCCTTACTGGGAGACAAGACAGCAGAGAGAGAAAGTCAGGGAGATGGCACACATGGTGGTATTTTGTCTTCTCAGCAGGAATTAGGATTAACCCATGTGTCCACCCGGGTAATAGAATGGTGGATCGGCCTGAAAATGGTAAGCATTCACTGGCAGAGTCCTGCCAAGAAATGACCTCCCACCTGCGTAATGAATGGCTGAATTTGAAGGAATGCAGCCAGCTTAACAGCTAATATTATTTACGAACGAGACAGAAAAACACCCTTTGCTATGCTTTGTTGAAAGTGTGCCATGGTGATGTGTAGAAAGCTCTAGAAGACGCGTGAGGAGGAGGCACAGGGACTTTGGAGATGGGAAGGAGGGTGAGTGGGCTGCCAGGTGGCTGGTGGGCATGAAGTGGGCTATGAGGAGTTCAACAACTTTTGCCCGTGGGAGACCTGACCTGGGATGAAAAGTTAAATCGTCTCCCTGCTGAGGAAAGTCTTCTTAGGTCTGCCCAGGGGCACCTGGGGCTTAGGGTCAGCTGGCTTCTGGCACTGCATGCTCCTCGGTTATTCCAGAAGCTTCTCTCACTTGGCACCAATGATGCACAGATGCCATGATCAGAGTTCTCAGCCCACTTATTCTCTTCTCAAAATGGCAGGTTCCCTTGTGTGATCAAACACAAGTGCCAAACGATAGTGCAGCTCTAACACGCCAGCAAAGACCTTGTTGCATTTGTTGAAACGGACTAAAACCCAAACAGATTTTTTTTTTCTTTTCCCATCTATTCCCCCATCCCATCCCACCCTCCCCGCTCCAAGCAAATCATCATTTGGTGTTTTTCAAAGTCATAAGAGGCACAAACAGGTAGCAAGAAGGCATGAGTGAAGTGTCTCCCGCCGAGCACACTCTTTTGGCCCTGCTGAGTGGTCTTCCCTCTGCTCAGGTGATGACAGTGGGGCCCCTCCGGCCGGTTCGCTCGTGAATCTGGGATATTTTCAGCGCGATGGCGATGAGAGGGCTGAGCACCGCCTGGAAAAGGAGGAAGAAAGTCTGTGAACAACTCGAGTCAGGCACGGGAAGGCCCCAAGGATGGGTTTCTATCAGAAGCATCTGGATTCAGTTCCGATGTGCGGCTCATGGGCGGAGTCTCTCGGGCAGGACGCCTGTTCTCAGGGCTGTAGTTTCCTCTTCAGTCAGAGAAGACTGGAATGGGCAGGGTCGGGGTAGGAGAGGGAGAAGATGATCTCCAGAGTCTTCTCTGGCTCCCAGAAACAGCGCTCAAAGATGAGAACTTGGCAGTTAGGGCGTTTTACCAACAGAGCACTGTGAATCAAGTTCAGAAAACCAGCCCCCCCGACCCCGACTTCCTCGGCCACACACCCTCCCTAACACGTACCCTTCCCCGGCCCACACACGCACATAAACACGTAAACAGCAGGCAAAACGCTCCTTCTCCATCCTAAGACCATGGCCTGAAGGACCTACTCTCTTGAAGTTTCAGAGAAGACAGACCGATCCATGGGCTAGAGCTGCAGAAATAACTGCTCGTTTCTTCCCGTCATGTAACACAGTGGCTCAAGGGCAATTCAGTGTCCTCTAGAAGGAGGTGGGGAGGTGGGAGGCCTAAGGAATAGATTCTTGGAAAGGCGAAGAGGAGCAAGAATCACATCTTGTCTTTTAGCTGCTCATCACTTCGCAGGAGTCAGGTACTGTCTTCCAAACTGTGGAGCACACGCTACTCAAGATGATTTGAGGTGGTGCAGGAGATTATTTTAGCTGGTGCGTGAACATGGCACCAAACCACTGAGAAAGTCGGTCTGTTTTCCATTCTTCTCCCATTCTCCTAATTTCATCAAGGAGAAAAATCTACTTGCTGCCAATCTTCAACACTTTTACCCAGACACAGCATGCCTCGGGGAAGAGTTAGATGGAAGGTAGTATCATTGTGTGATTTTATTGAATTCATTTGTATGGTGAATTTTATTTATCAAGGGATATTGTTTTATCTATCAAGGGATTTTATTTATCAAGGGTTACTGTTTTTCTTCTATGTGGAGCACTGATATAAACTTTCTATAATAAGATTCAAATGAAAATAAAGTAAGTCCATTTAAAGGCAAAGACTGATAAAGGGATACAGGGATAAGGGGAAAAAAGATACTTTCTTTAGGAAAACAAAACCTGTCTTTTTGGAGGGGAGAGGGAGATTCTGTAACTTGCAACCTTCACCTATTTCTTACAGATAGAGGCAGGAAGGGGACGCATGCATTCTATTCAGACAACAAGAGCCCAAGCAAACACCCAGGGCACCGGAAGCACACATAGTCCAGTGTGTCCTGAGGGGACTGTGGACACAGAGCCGTCCTGAGCAATAAGCGAACAAGCCTTGTTTGGAGGGGCCAACTGTCAGGATTTAATGTATTAGGCAAGGGAAGATGCTGGAGTTTTTGAGCCAAAAGGTGACACTATCAGGGCTGTGCTTTGGAAAGATGGCTCTAGCAGCAAGCCCAGTAGTTTAATACATTTGTGGCTAAATGTATTGAATTACCTTACTTTCTAAAGATGGCTAGATGAAGCAGCTCAGATGTTATCTTGGAAGCTAGATGAGAGATGAAAATCTAGGGTATTCTGAGAGGGAGCCCTAAAAGTGCCCCAATTTGAATTTTTTTGTCAGTCTTGTGGAATGGGAGCTGCAAGTCACAGTTAATTTAAGGATCAGAATGAATTTTTTTCTTGCCTGAGTGTGTAAATAAATATATGCTGGAATGAATGGTCACACCATGAGGGCGGGAACTTTGTCTAATTTAGGGCTTAGAAAATGCCTGCTATTTAGGAGCTGAATAAATACTGGTGGGATAAAAGAACGTGATATCAGTTTGATGAGAAAAAAATGACGGGGCAGATAGAGACTTCGGTGGCCACTCATGCAGGGCACTCTGGGTGACTGGGAGGGTCAGAAGTACAGAATTTTTCACCGTTATGTTTTTCTTTCGAAATCATAGCTTTGATACACGTGAATCCCAGAGACTTTTCTCATGTCATCAGTCATGCATCATGGAAAAGAGAGAGGGGAGATTAATTTTCCTCAGGCAACTGAAAAGGCCCTCAGGTTGGAGCATGGGAGGAGGGCTTACAATCATAAGCCTGCAGGTGTGAGATTCTTGAGAGGGAACTGGACACAGAGCTTGAGAAGCAGGGAGGAGCCTGGGATGGTCTAGTTTCACCCTTTCATGTCACAGAAGAGGAAACTGAGCGCTGAGAGGAGACCTGATGGGCGCCGGGTCACATGTCTGTTTGGTGGCTGAGCTGGGATGAGAATATAGTGATTCCTCCTCTATTGCTCTTGCTGTGTGTGACACAGTTCTAAATATGAGACCTGTGAGTGAGAAGGAAAAACAGCACACAAAATGAGCCTACATGGAGGGATGGGGGGGAAAAAAGGAGGATCATCATCCCATTGTACCAAACAAGCCCCATGTCAGACGAGGGGTCGGAAAGGACCGACCCAGCCATCCTCACTCACCAGGAGCAGGTTGACAGTGGGGAGAAGAGCGTTGGTGGTTTGTTCCAAGATGACTCTTCGTCAATAAAGGAAATAAACTAATAGCGACTATAATCCATTAAAAATATAGCATCTTCCTTCTAATTCCAGTGCTTCTTAGAGTACTTGACATAGCTTTTTTATGCTCAGGAGTAGGAAAGAGCAAGTGCTCATCCTGCAGCAAACCGAGACGGCAATGCACCCGTTCAGAAGGACTCACACTGTGGCTCCAGGGCTCCTCCTCCACCTGGAGAGGTGGGTGGATGTCGCTGTCAGCTTGAGTTAATAAGCCTATCCGGCTAACGAGGGAAATGGAACTTGTCTCTACTTAAAATTTTGAAATTTTATCATAGATTTTGCTGCATTGGTTTTGATTTTTTAAAATCTTGCATTACAATATTTATCTTGATCACTGAGCTTCTTTTGGCACCCTGTTAAATTCTGCAGCTTGCTAACACCACCCTCATCCTGGCCCTGTGTTAAGTTTTAACCTGTTCATATCCCCTAGAAGAAGAGAGACGTTTTTTCCTTTCATTTTCTTTTCCATCTTCTCTCTTGCTTTATGTTGTTAATGCTTTGACTCATGCTGACGTAAACTAGAGCCATAAAGAGAAACCCCTAACAAATGAACTTCTCACCCTGACTGGTAATAGACAGGAGAGGTGTAAATGATCTGAATGTCACAAGACTCAGAGTAAATAGTTAACTGATTTTTTTTTTTGGAGAAGAATAAATCGCTAACTACAAACACAATCATTTATTAAGTGATGTTTGTTATAAGACCCACTTTATAAGTGCCCTGCCCAAAGAGGTAAGTGGGGGTGGAAAATTAAGCCAGCTCCTCTCAACAAGCCAGGCATCCTGGCAAGAGGCTGCATCTCCCCAGAGAAGGCATGCCTTTTGTCTTCTCACCAAGGTGCCCAGCCCCACCATCCTGTGCCTTTCTACAGAGGGAGCCTTTTAAAAATTTGCACGAAGATGCCCTAGAAGCCAGATGCTGCCCTGTTTACAGGAGTCAAAATTTTAGGTAACAAAGATAAGATGACTAGCTATTTAAAATCCATTTGAGAAGCATCTAGAAGAGAAACTGTAACTGAAAACAAAATCAAATTTGTTTTTTTGCTGATAAAAGTTAAGTGAAAATGAATAAACACTGCTAACATTTTGCTCTTTATTCCAATACATACAACCATGCTCCTAACTTTAATCCCCGTTTCATGGAATAAATCTACCTGTCTATCTTGTTCCAAAATGGACCTAAAAATAACCAAAATATAGAATATGAAAAATGACTGTAGATAAATCTGAATTCCGAGCCCAACCCCAAGGGAACCCATCTATCTTGTGAATATCAGAAAACAGGCCTCTATAAAAGCTCTCTTCTGAGGGAGAGAAAGCCATTCCAAGATATCAGTGGATGAAATACTCCCAAAGAAGTTCAATCAAAGCAAAAATTAAACTAAACCAGGGCTTTGGGAATGCAGTGACAAGCCAAACAGAAACCACACTGACCAGGCAGGCTCGGCTTCCTTCTCCACCACCCTCCCCACCTTTGCAGTTGATCTAGGGCTTCAGGAAGCGAAAGGCGGTGCTAAGGTTGCAAACCCAAAATAAAGGAGAGAAGTCATGAAGCCAGTTTTCCTGTTTATTCAAATTGGAGCTGCATTTGGTTCCACGCTTGGGAGTATCACGCTGGGTTGGAGAAGGAGAGAAAACAAATGTGCTGGCCAGCCTCTGGGGGGCACAGCTGAAAGGCATGACACAGGATCTTGGTGGCCTTTCATGGTCCTGTCCTGCAAACACAGACCAGCCTGCAGGAGTTCACAGCCTCTGTGTCATATAAGTACTCTCCGGTCACTCTTTCCTTCCCCCCTTTCCTCTTTCCTCTCTTCTCCCTTTCTCTGCCCTCCTCACACTCCCCCAGCCTCCACCATCTGCCAACAAAAACATTGCAAAACGATGGGAAATGACTGATTGGTTCCAGATCACCACAATTTCTGCCAGCCTCCTCAAATGTCCCTATCGTGACATCAATATTTCTTTCTCTTCATTGGTTCTCTCCACAACAGACTTCACGTTCCCTGATGTGGAATCCACCTGCCAGTTTAGAGGGGAACTAGAGTTGCCCACCCCCTCTACTGTCACTTGCAAAATCATTAGCAAAAATATAACTGAACTGAATAAGACTGAACGCAGAGGTTAAGAAAAAAAAAAAAGAACCATTATCCAGTTCATGTGCGCAAAGGATTCTCCTTGTAGCCATTCGCCTCCTCTTTTCCCCTCTGTTCCCTAGCCACTTCCACGGCCAAGGTCTAGGTTATCAGTCATCCCTGTCATACTTTAAAAAACTGAGTTGGAACAATAAGGTGATTCAGCTTGACTTTCTATGCATAGATCCTAGAAAGCCTTGCTCCTTAGAGATGGGTTAAAAGCACCAAAAGCCGTCTCCCAAAGATTAGTCAGCCGACTGCTACCTGAGGGCGGAGTA